CTTCGTTAGACAATGTTCGATGTAATCTTAAGACAAAAGCCAGGAAATGAAACTAGCAATTTAGAAAATCCTTTCTAAAATGCATCGTGAGGAGAAACATCAGCAAGAGAATATGGGGCTGTGTTGAAGTTGAGGCAAAATCTCTGAAGGACCCCAAGAGAGAAGGAATCTGTGACCCCGAGAGAGAAGTAATCTCTGGCCTTCATCCCCTCTTACTCACTGAAATACAAACTGACTGGAGGTTGGGTCTTTTTAATTGCTTTTATGCCCATTTTTATTGTCATTTTCCAGAAGTCGAACAGTTCCCAAACTCCCAGTTGTTAGCAATGAAAGGAGACAAGGAGAGGACCACTGTCCCACAGGTCGTTTGTGAGAGTATGAGCTCCCAGTGTGATGATGTTTGGAGAGGGGGTCTTGGAGAAGCATAAGATTAGATGAGATTGGGAACCCCATGAAGGAACTGTTAAAAGGATCAGAACTCAGGAACCACCGCTATGGACGTCTGCACTAAGCTGGGCAGGCTAGAGAGCCCTTCCTTTAGGGGGTGCTATAAATCTGACCTCAAATATTCTGAGATAGGAAGGTTGAATTTGAAAGTTTAGAAACTGGCGCTAGGAGTAAGCTCTACACATCACAGGTGTGACCCCAAACCAAAAATATAAAAAATAAGTAAGTAAATAAATAAAAAAACACAGATGATTGGTGGCACAAACAGAATTCAGCCCATGACGATTTGATTCTAAAGCTTCAGATCTACGTACCCTTCACAGCCGGCGGTTTCCCTGAGCACTGTATCCATGTCTTCAACCAGGAAAACATTCGCTTTTGTCAATTCCAACAATCTTTACCTGTCGCTGTACTCAGAGTGAGTTCCTTGTGGACAGGCTCTCTTAATGGTCTACTGTCAAGGATGTGGAGGAGTGGTCCAGTGCTGTATCCCAAGCAGAGCTGGGGCGGGAGCCACAACAGGCAAGGCACTGGCCTTGCTCATGGCCCACCCGGTTGGCATCTCCAGATGGTTCCTCATGCACCCTGGGAGTAATTCGTGAGTGCAGAGCCAGGCACAACCCCTGAGTACTGCCAGGCATGGCCCGCAAATGCTCCACATCATTAATCATCAGGGAGATGCAGATCAAAACCACAATGAGATATCACTTCACACCACAGAGACTGGCCCATATCCACAAGAACAAAAGCAACCGGTGCTGGCGTGGATGTGATGAGAAAGGGACACTCCTTCACTGTTGGTGGGAATGCCGACTGGTTCAGCCCTTTTGGAAAACAGTATGGACTATTCTCAAAAAATTAGAAATTGAGCTCCCATATGATCCAGCAATACCACTCCTGGGAATATATCCCAGAGAGACCAAAAAGTATAGTCGAAGTGACATCTGCAATTGTCTGTTCATTGCAGCACTCTTCACAATAGCCAGAATCTGGAAAAAACCTGAGTGCCCAAGAACAGATGACTGGTTAAAGAAACTTTGGTACATTTACACAATGGAGTACTATGTAGCTGTTAGAAAAGACAAAGTCACGGAATTTACATACAAGTGGTACTACATGGAAAGTATCATGTTAAGCGAAATGACTCAGAAAGAAAGGGATAGACATAGAAATATTGCATTCATCTGGGGAGCATAAAGTTACAAAATAGGAGACTAACACCCAAGAATGGCCAAGATTAGTACCAGGAATTTTACTCCATGGCTTGGAGGCCAACCACACATACTAGGGGAAAAGGGAGCTCAGATAGAGAAAGGAACACCAAATAAAGGTGTTGGGAGGATCCTCCAGGATGGGAGAAGCATGCGGAAAGTAGACTATTATAGACTAAACATGATTGTCACCCATTGCCTTTTTTGCAAACCACAACACCCAATAAGAGAGAGAGAACAAAAGGGAATGCCCTGCCACAGAGGCAGGGTGGGAAGGGGGGCTCGGGGGTGGGAGGGATACTGGGATCCGTGGTGGTGGGAAATGGGCACTGGTGGAGGGATGGGTATTTGATCATTGTATAAGTGAAACCCAAGCACAAAAATGTGTAAGTCTGTACCTAAATAAATAAATATAAATAAAAAACAACAACAACAACCAAAAACTTCCAAACAAAAAAAAACTTGACAACATTGAAAACAAGAGATCCAAACGATAATGACCAAACTTAAAATGTGCCTTTCAAAGGGCCAGGCTATGAAGGTCCCTGATGGGGGGAACCTGGGGACACTGGTGGAGGGGAGTGGTGGGGTTGGGGCCAGAGCATCATTTGTCTAAAACCACTATCTGTAACTTTGTAAATCACAGTTCTTGAATAAAAGTGTTTTTTTTTTTAAAATTTTTCTAAAGAACTTAATTCAGTGGCTCAAAGTGAATGGGAGTGACTGTTAGCACAGCAGCCCTATTAATGTGTTCACAAAGCACGGGTGCTGAGACGATGCATGTGTGTTCAGTGGCCGAGAGCCACCTCCCATCCTCCCCAGGCCGCCCCAGCAAAGACTGAAACAGGAGACCCCAGACTGATGGTAAAAATGGCCCATTTAGTGCAGAGCTGCTAGCATACTTATAGAACATCTGAAGGGGTAAGAGGTATAAGACTGTATGTCCCTGTGATTTATAGGGGTAAATCATTCCAGTAGATGCAGTTCTCTGGGGGAGATAAACTCAAGGAGACTCTCTGTCCCCCCAGGGACATCTATATTGCTTTCCTCTTTCCCTCTAGCCATACATATGTGTGTGTATAAATAGATATCTCAAACAATTAAGTAAATTAATCAAATAATTAAGTCTACTTCTTATCAATACTTGCGATTGTTTGGATAAACACTGTAGCACTGTAGTGTGTAAACACAAAAAGAGCACAGCAGTGGCAGCAGTCTATTTGTCCCACCGCCAGCGTTTGGCCGCTTCCCCCACACTGGGGAGGTAGATGGCGAGGGCCAGGCTGGTTGGTCTTAGTCGCAGTTTATTCCAATACTCTCTCTGTTCATTCCTGTCTCTCTCCTCTGCCTCCCCCATGCTACTTCATTCTCCTTCTCGATTCCCCTTCCTCCTTCTTCTCTGGAGTCTCAATTCTGATCCCCCAGCTCACTCTTACATTCTGGTTAAATCCCAAAGCATGAGGGGTTGGGGCTTACACATAGGTGTGGGTCACAATCAATAGGGGTAGAATGCTTTCCCTCGGGGGAAAGCCGCTTCTAGGACAGATACTCTCTCAGCAGGATGACCCACCCTAGAGCAGAATCCCATGGGTGTTTCTCCTTTCCTTGTCCAACAAACATATAAGCATTCATAATATAAATCATTTTGTATGGATACAGTAAGAAATACCTTAAACTTATAGAATTGCTCTCCTAGGGCCATCTCAATCTCAGACTACAGTGCTCAGGCCAAATAGTCTTTCCTATTCCTAGCAGGGTCCTAGTTTCGTCATTACTTTGGATCATGACAGCATTTGTCTATGATCAAACTCTTAACTTATAGTTAAAAATCGTGGCACTCTGGCCTGGCCCATTTCGATGCCAGGGTAGCTCGCTGCTTGCCCTGGGTCCATTCAGTCCCTCGTCGGGTCCCTACTTTTGGGGTGTTAGGAACCAAGGGCAACTGAGGCTTAAGTCGAGAAAGCAGATGCCCAAGAGTGAGTAATTCTCAAAGCTGATTAAATCCTAAGTTACAAAAGCATAATATTAACTGTCCTTCTGTATCTCTACGAAAAGGACATTTCATTAAACAATTCAAAAGACATAAGGAGAGGAGAAAGGCAATATTTCACTCATACATATAAAATCATAGATTTCTGAGGAATCTAACCTTACAAGTTAACAGAGTCTGATTAGGGGGAAAGCTGATTAACTGGTTGGGGAGGAGAGCATAGGGAAGAATTTACAGATAAACACAATGGAATGGAAGCGCCTCAGGAGCACTGCGATGGGTGTAACCTGATAAACCTAAGCTCCTAGTGGAGAAAGGGAGAAAGGACAAAGCAATGTCATCCTACACTGTAGCACTGTCCTCCCGTTGTTCATCGATTTGCTCCAGCGGGCCCAGTAATGTCTCCATTGTGAGACTTGTTACTGTGTTTGACATATTGAATACGTCACGGGTAGCTTGCCAGGCTTTGCCGTGCGAGGGGGATACACTCAGTAGCTTGCTGGGCTCTCTGAGAGGGCGGAGCAATTGAACCGGGCTTGGCTAGGGCAGCAACGTGCAAGGCAAACACAAATACCCTACGGCTGTGTTATTGCTCCAGTCCAGGATAAACACAGTAAGAGATAAAGATCCCAAACTTAGTTCTCCGGGCTCTGAGTTCACTGAGAGCAAGCAAGGCTTTTACTGTAAATCCCAGACTAAGTCCTCAGGCCATTTAAGCTTGTCCTTCCCCATGGGGGTCCTGTCCATTAACTCACAACAGCTTGCATCAAGCTGCTTTTATACTTTCTGGCCCTCAAATTTTGAAAAATAATAAAACCATACGGTAGAAGAGATAGTAGAGGGGAGAGGGGGTGTCCTACATGCTGCTGACACAGTTCCACATGGTCCCTTGAGAACTACCAGGCACCATCTAGGCGGACCCCCCCTGCACTAATTCCTGGCACTGCATGGCCAGAGCAGGATGGTCCCCGTGGGTCATTTGGCCAGGAATGACTGAAAAAGGCCTCTAGCCTCTTGGGCACTGTTTTGGAAACACAGACAGCCCCAAACAGCCAGTGTTACCACTGGTTGTGGCAAAATGATGCACTTTTTTCTCCATTACATCTATCTGTGTTCCCAACATATTATAAAAGTGAGTCTAAATTCTTTAATAAAACTCATCTACTATTGTAAAATATAAATAACCTTAAATAGGAATCTATTTGATCCTTAAATAGGAATCAGTCAAAAATTACACAGGTATCACAACATCAGACTAAAGTAACATGAATTTCCTTAAAATGAACACATTAAAGCATTACCTTGGTAACATATTAAATACTTTATTTAAATAATAAGAAAACTGCATAAATTTGTTTGGATAAAATTTCTTATTACTTACATCAAATTTACAACTTGCAGATAACAAATTCCAAGCAGTTTAGTGTCATAACAATAGTTCATCAAAATGTAACATTGGTATATAAATTCAGATATATTATATGATATATAGTTTAAATAACCAAAGAATAAATAAAAATAATTTACTTCTTTGTTATTAAATTTACAAGATACATGTTATTTGTCTCCAAGTAAACAGATTATATCTGGAACACCACTGTCTGTACCTAAAAACAAAACCAAACCCCTTTCTTTAAAAAAATGCACGTAATTCAGAAAAATTTAAATATAGGCGAGGTTCCTTTAAAGCAAAAGAAACCAACTAAATTTCCTGGTTTATTTAAAACCAAACAGATCTAAAGCAAAGTTTCAGACTGATAGATCTCATTCAACCTTCCTAATTTAATTACAGTTAAAACTATTTTATTTATGAGCTTTACATCAGCCATAAAAACCGTTGTATGTTTCATTTAAAAGAGAAATTTTAGCCTTCAAGTTAAGATTTTTAGAAATTCAATTACAACATTCTTTTCTTACAATGCTTTTTATCAGCTGTAAAATTTTAGACTTTTAACAACTTTAAGAGCTTTAAAATATATTTAACATTAATGAGTCAAAATTCTACTTTTCTACAGGGGTTTTACATAGACAACTTTTCTTAAAACTGTTTCAACTGGCTAGTTTTAAAAACCATCAAATACTATATGTCATTAAAAAAATGTTTCTTGGCTTTGGCCATTCCAGTAATATTCAATCTTTTAAAATCACAGTTTTACCCACATCTAACAGCACTGCATGAGCACAGACTGTAGGAAACGAGAATATAAGGAGATCTGGTGTTTCATTCCATTCCCCAACCTCCCCCTACCCCAATGTGACGATTCCGCCAGAGTAGTGGCTTCCTCGGCACAGAATTTATCTTCAAACCAGATACTGATTTTCCTCCTGCAACTCACATTTGTTTATCGAATCAGTTACCCAATCTTCTCGTAGGATTTTGAACTTTCTCTGAAGAGTTCTTCGAAAAGCTTTAAGATTGGCCACTCGGCTATGGTCCTCCCCAATGACTACGTGTGATACGCCTTCTGCTAGACAAGAAACGACTTGGGCTCCATGAAACCGAAGCTCCAAGGCAGTGATGGCTAGCCTTGTGCCCTCCAGTCTGGTGCTCGAATCGCTAATGACAGAATACAGGTCCACATACACAGTGTGACGCCGAAACATACTAAGAGGAGAGTGGTCCCAGGAATATCGATACTCTAAATCGGCAATCACGGGAGCCATTTCTTCCTGAGTTTGTCCGCCAGAATTTTTAACTCTTGCAAACACTTCCTTCAGCTGCTCCACGTCTGTGTCAATAAAATAACTGTCACCGTATGTGTCATACTGGCGGGCAAAATGCTCCCTTGTGGATGGGCACATGTGGATCATGTGCCGAGGTTGCCAGGGCACGCAGCTCTGGGTTTCGAAGCACTCCAGAAGCCACTCGGGCTTGACAACATCATGCTTGCCTTCAGAGATGATGTTTTTCACTCGGATGTTCTCGGTCCCTGCAATGACACAGTACGTATCCGGGCCTGGATTCTGGACTATGCAGCCTCCGAATTCTGCAATTCTGTTCTCCAGGGCAGGCTTCGGGTGGCCAGCCAGGCCACTCATCACACAAAATTCTACATATTCAAATACATTCGAGATTTTGTTCACACTGGAGAGGTTGGGGGCTTTGAAGGCTTCCATGATGCCGATGGCTTTCTTCACCTTGGGGGCAGCTTTCCGCTTTTTCTCTTGTGGTTCATCATTGCCATCACCACCGGGGTAGAGGTGTTTGGAAGCCAGCTTCCCGGCCGCCCTGCCCCGGAGCTGCTCCATCTCCTCCAGAGTCATGCACTCATGCCACTCTTTGTCCTCCCTGATCCTTTCGATCCGCGGGAAGCGCAGCGTGCAACCCGTTTTATACATGTCACTGGGGACGATCTCTGCTGCCTTGATCTGGACAATGACAGAGTTGCAGGGCTCAATGTACACTTCCGGCTTCTCTGTTCCACATAAAATGCTGCTGGGAGGAGCCCTTTTGTGAAATGTCTTCCAGTGCTTCGACAGCTTCATACCCAGGTCATACAGTTCTTTCATCGTGTAACCTGAGCCCACACGGCAGAGGCTATGAAACACTGATGGCTTCTCCCCTGGAGGCGGCTTCTCTGCCACCGCACACAGAAAGTGGGACATCATTCCACCCCGTGAGCCTTTCCCCCAGTAGCCCCCAACAAGTAAGACATCCAGCTCATCCATCAGCCCGGTTACATACTCGGGTTTAATCTTCAGCCATCCTTCCCCTCTCTTGTCTGGCTTGTAAACGGAGAAGGGGTTCTTGACCATGATTCCCTCTTCTCGTTTATCTATGGCTTCATTTAAAGCATCAATGACTTCTTTCTTGGTATGAGCTTGTGTTTTCTGCACGATTTCTATCCGGCCTGGTACCGGTGTGAGAACGTTCCCCAGAATCTCATACCTCTTCCTCAGGGTTTCGTGTCCAAGTTTCTTACTATTGACCATCAGGACGTCGAAAACACAGAAGCAGGTCTGCAGGTCAGTCTCATCCACCATCCGTTTAATATCAAATTTGTTCCCCTTTTGCATAAAAGTCTGCGTGTGAGGATTGTAGGCCATCATCTCACCATCCAGGATACAGACTCGTATGTCTGTGTGGAAAGCACCATGGATGAATGGTGTAAGAGAACCCTCCTCAGGGGAAGCACCAAACTGCGAAGTGTAGTTGTACCCGTTTCGGGAGAAATACTCATAGACGTCCCCGTTTTTGTGCAGTTGCATACGCTCACCATCCAGCTTTGTTTCAATGTAGAAACTCTGGTGCTTCATGTCCTTCTCAATCCGTTCGATATCTGCTATGGCAGCTAACATTGGTTTAAAGGGAGAGAATAAACTGATAGAAATATCACTGAGCCCAACAGAGGGGTCATGCAGTTGCCTACAGACTTTCTCCAGATCTGTGGTGACACTGTGCAACTCCACCGCATCACTATGAAAAACAGATAAAATAGTTTGATGGCTGATACCAAGCTTTAAGTCCTTGACAATCATTCGGATGAGCCACTTCTGCTCAAGAGCTGAACTCTGAGCAATAAACTGAAGAAGACTCTTCTTCATCAGGTCTTTTCTCTTGGAGGAATTATTGCTGGCGATGGAGTCCAGAATGCTGTTGACTTCCTGGATGGTCAAGCTTCCTTTTTGCAGGCATCTTGGTTTCAGCACAAAGTACGCAATCATGGCAAAGTCTCCTGCATCCCCACGAGTCCCTGTAGGTGTTCGATAATTTAATAGTTTCTGAGCATCTTTTCCTTCTTTGGGTAAATTAAGTAGTTCAATGTAGAGCTTAGCGAGCATCGTCTCTTTGATACCATAGGCCATTCTCTCTCTTTCTAGCTGGGGAAGAATCAGCCTCATAGCTGGATAAAAAGAGTCTGTGACATCTTTCTGATTCTTATGAAGGGCATCATGAAATTTCCTCCAAGAATCCAAAAAGTCCCTGTAGTGCTTGACTTTTTCTGGACGTCCTTTGGCTTTCTGTATTCGCTCCAGAGTTAAACATAAATCTGCAAAGGGAACTCGAGAGGCAACTGTGGGTGAAGATGGCGTGGCGGCCATGAATGCAACGGTGAATCCTCGGGTCTAAATGATGAAGCAAAAAGAGAGTACCTTTAGTAAAAGACATAGTCCAACTAAATATTTTATGTAAACATCTTACCAAGGAGCTTGGTTTCTAAGCAAAGATTTTTAATGTTTACTAATCTTAAAAACAAATCAATACTTCGGGCCCCACCGGAGGGGGTGAGTGAGCACACCACCCGCTCCAATAAAGCCCCAGCAGCCGAAACCCTCCAGATCCCAATCGCTGCCATGCTCACCATGCTCATCGTGGGACAGGCTCAGGATAAGCCTCACACATGAAAATGAATATGCAGAAACACTGAGGTATGTGGGTTTCGTGACCAAAATCTCCAGGATCTCATGGAGTTGTCTCATTGGTGACTTCCCCCAATCTCCCGGTTCTTCTGGGAGCCTGGCAGTCACACCTGAGAAATGCCTCTAGTGCCACAGAAGCTCATTAATGGCCATGATCCAGAGACACACAAATAAATCTGGGAAAAGAGCAACATGCTGCAGAGATGCCTCCAGACTCCAAAATCACCATTCAGTTAAAAATTTAACTTCAGCTGTATCACCCTATTTAAAATTTTAAAATTCCTTGAGCAACATTTCATATACTATGCCAGTAATATAGTAAGAACAGCACACCACATTTGATGGGGTGTAAAACTGAGCAAGTGATCTCAATCAAGGCTTACAGGTTAAGCCTTGTGTACTAATACATACATACATAAATACATACATATACATATATATGTATATGGCTTAACCTGTAACAACCTGTTAGTAATCGCTTATACAAGGGCTAAATGTCTCCAGGGTAAGCTACAACAATATTCACACACTTACCTCTAAGGAAACTTTTTGGGATAATTTTTAGCTGATTATTTATAACAAGCAATACAAAATTAATTATTTAGGATCTGCCTTTGGGGCAGACTTGGGTAGTGGTAGGAAAATTCAAAATAATGGTGGTGGGATTTTGTTAGAATATTGAATGTAATTATTGTGACCAACTTTAGAAAAATAAAAAAAATTAAAGATTAAAAAAACAAGATCAATGCTGTAAGTGATGGGTTTTTAAAAAAAAAAACTTTACATGTAATAATCAAATATGTTACTTCAATCCTGCTCTAGTGTTAATTTTCAAAAGTACCACCAACTTCAGAGCTTATTGATACCAAAATTAATCATTTCAGTAGTATTTTTTCTTAAATTCCAATCTCCTATTAAATTATCCCATTCTTTACTTACGTAAAACATAATGCAAAACAGTATTGCCAATAATGGAAAATTAAAAAGCCCAATTCTCTTCATTGGGGACTTCAAGAAGGCCTTCGCTTATATTTCTTCTATTTGGACTGCTGTCAACACAATACCCAGGAACAAAATTCTTTAAATAGATGTTTTAAACAATTAGTACCTGAATTAAAATTTGGGCTTCTTAGAGCTGGAATTCCTAAGTGACTCTACAAACAAAAGGTCTGCTCGACAGACAAAGCCTCTGTCAATGTCTGCTTCAGTGCTAGTGTTCGCATTCAAAGTCCAGCTCGAAATACCATTAATGCAAACTCCACTTTACCATGCTCTTTAACACTACTTTGTCATACTTAGTGTTAAACATTCACATACGCATCCAGCAGCACACATTCGTTTTGGTTCACATTCTAATGCCAGCTAAACCCTGCTCCCACCCTCTTGCCCCGCACGGCGGGGGGGGGGGGGGGGGGGGGGCACTTACCAAAGAATCAGATATCCTGTCTTAAAAACAAAAACAAACAAAAAACAAAATAATCCAAACTTCTGTAAAGAAAAAGGGACATGATGGGAACTACTTATAAAATGCTAACTTTGAAAATCTACTACGTTCCACTACTTAAAAAAGTTACTTATGAAAACTTATATAAATGTTGTGTAAGATGAGAGTTTTTCATCAACACATCTTCTAATTTATACAAGAAGAGGTCAGGAGCAAGATTAATAGTCCAGCCAGTGGGTGGGGCATTTTTCTTTCACTCAGCTGACCTGGGTTCGATCCCCTGTTCCCCACATGGTCCCCCCAAGCCCCCAGAAGTGAACCCTGAGTGCAGAGTCAGGAATAAGCCCTGAGTACCTCTGGGTGTGATCCCAATACAAAAACAAATAAACAGGTTGGGGTTGGAGCATAGTACAGCTGGTGGGGCTCTATGACTGATGTGGGTATGAACACAATTTGCTCAGGGCACTTTATCAGGTGTGATGTCTGAGCAGAGCCAGGAGTAAGCCATGAGCACTGCCAGATGCAGCCCCCAAACGAAAAAACAGCACCATCATCAACAACAAAAGGAAGTAACAGAAAACCTGCAAGTGAAGGTCTAGACTATTTCTCAAGTGTGAAATGTCCCTGAAGTTTCAAATACCTATGCAAGTTTGACTAGAATGTATAAGGTACCAGAGCTATTTTATATGGTTTGGGCCCTGGATTCTTAAATTGTGGGTCCCCAGATCATGAGCTGTGATGTAACAAACCTGGAGGCCATAAAAGGAACCTTCAAACTTTGAGCGTCTCCTCAACAGGCAGAATTCTACCTACTGGCCACACAAGGCTCCTGGCGCACCAGAAATCATGTCAAGTCCATGGCAAGACCTATCCATGGAACTCTCTAGAGGCTGAAATCATGTTTACTTCTGTGCCACTTGTGCCTGGCACGCTGCAGGTTCAAAGGCTAGAGGCTCTTCACACACGTGCGCGCGCGCGCATACACACGCATACACACACACACACACACACACACACACACACACAGAGCAGCACTGCCAGTGGGGTCCAGCATAAGAAACCTTCAGCAGCTACGGTGGCAACTGGAAAAGGGCCATCTGTTATCTGATCAGATTGTGGGTTAAAACTACATAAAAAATAGCAGATCAGATCGTGGGTTAAAACTACACTTCTCGGTCTAATTCCCACCAACAGACGGCAATTTCTACTGAGGTGGTTTGAGAAAAGACCGTTTCAGCGACTCTGATCTTTGAATTCAGTAACTGCCAAGTTCCTTCCTCTCCTCCCCACTTCCTCTGGATGGGTCTGGGAGTTGGCTGCACCTGTTTCCCTCCCAAAATATGCTCCCTCAAGGTGAGACATTTGGTATAAATGCTACACCTGCTATTTATACAGAATGGTTGAGGAGGAAGTCTATGAATGCTGAAGTCTGATGCACAGCATCTGGCCTACCTGTAGGTGCTATATGGATGCTAAGTCAGAGTTTCTGTGCACAAGCTCCAGACAAAAACTCATGTTACTGATTAAAATGCAGTAACAATCAATACTCAAAGCAATAACAAGGCAATATGCACCCTCAAACTACCACAGGCATCAAGGATTTCAAATATTAACATAAAATACACTTAGATACTTTTATTAGACCTGTATAATTTCTACTGATTTTTTTTTTTACATTGTCTTAATTTTACTTTCTGGGCTCCCAAGTTCCTTTTAAAGCTTATGCTTCTGATTTGGGGAGAAGGGGGAGTGTAAGCACTGAGCCTCCCTCCAGAGTCCAAGAACTCTGAGGTCAAATGTGGATTCAAACTTACTAGTTCTCTGATCAGGGGGGTGGGGGGGTGGGGGGTCGTCTCTCCTTGTGTTGGATGCGAAAGGTTCAAGGTGGTTCCTAACTGTGCTGAGAGATCGATGCCAAATTCACATGACTGGACAGTCCTATGTTCAGTTTCGGTCTATGCTTTGGGCTGACCCCAAACATACATATTATAAAATAACAGACTGATTAAGGACGGAGGAAACCTCCAAATTTTAAAGCCATAGGCCAAGTCTTTGAAGAGAACATATTCAAGCCAGCAATATTCCTAGGGGTCGTCATTCACGTAGCTACTGTGGGTAGTGCCCTGGGATGACCACCAAACTGGACTGCAGGTAGGTTAGGGGTCAGCGCGGGTTTCTGGACGAGCAAAGGTGAAGTGGAAGTTTCCTTCTGGGGACTCTGCCTGCGACAGTGTGCTTTGCTGCTGCCCCCCTGAATGTCGCGGGGTGGATACCCGGGGGACCGCAGGCTTTGCAGTTCCCCACAGAGCACTGGGTGGGTGCTGGGGTCCCCAGGCTTTGCAGTTCCCTGCTGAGCACTGGATGGCTGTCGGGGAACAACCCCAGGCTTTGCAGTTCCCCCCGCAGAGTACTGGGTGGGTGTGCAGGGACACCAGGCTTTGCAGTTCCCTGCAGAGCACTGGGTGGGTGTCGAGGACACCAGGCTTTGCAGTTCCCTGCAGAGAACAGGGTGAGTGCCGGGGGACCCCATACCTTGCAGCCCCCTAGGGTAGTAGGGTCTGGGCGAAAAGGACAACTCCTTTAAACAGTCAGGCCGGCCGGCTGGGGGCTCGGGAAGTGGCCAGACGAGGCGGAGGTGGAGGAACCGGGTCCTGTCCCGCCGGCCCCTCTGCGCACCACGCCCCGCGCCCTCGCTGCAGCGCCCCGGCAGGACCGCCCGAGTCCCCGAGGAGCCCCAGCCCCGTCCGGCGGGTCCGGTATGCCTGACCTCGACCCCCACCCCCACGCCCCTCACCTGCGAACCCGGCGGAGGAGGCACGCGAGGAACGTGCGTCCCACCAACTTTAAGGACAGGAGCATCGGGGGGAGGCGGAAGCCCCGCAGAAGTGGTTCCGGCAGCTGGGCTCCGCGCAGGCGCACTCGCCACCCGCGAGCCCCCGAGGCCGCGACGGCGCAGGAGGCGGCGCGCAGGCGCAGTTCCCGCCGAGCGGGGCTGTACGCATGCGCGCTCGCACCTGAGCGGCGCCGGTAGCTGGACCGGCCGGGCCTGTGGGGCGCGGGCGCATTCGCAGCCGTGGGCTGACGGGCGGGATGCTCTGCGCAGGTGCAGTGATGCTCTCGGAGGACCGCCCCCTTGGCAAGCGCAAACTAAGCAGTCGGTGGTGGTAGGTGAAGCTCGGCCCTTGGGCGCCTTGGGTGCTCCTGTTCGGAAGTGGTAGGAGCAAGCGTGGATTTTGTCGCTGAACTAGACCTGAGACTATCTGTGGACCAAACCCATCACATGCCCAGAAAACTTGGATGTAACAGTAGCATGAACAGCTATTTCCTTGCCACACTGAACCCCCCCCCCCCCCCCAGGATTAAAGATTAAGGCATCTAAGTATTCTCGGTACGTGATAAGCACTGAGAATAAAGTCTAAAATATCGTCTATAGCTATCCTAAATAGCTATAGTCCTTTCCCACTTGTTTCTTTATGAAGTGAGCTTGTTTCTCCACTCAGAAGTATAATACATAATTTAGAATTCCTAACACACACATAAAGTTAGGTGTTACAAACTCTTCAGGCATCTGTTCGAGCATTCAAAATAAACATCACAACGCTTATTGAGCACTTTTTATGACATAGAATTGTTCCAGGTATGGAAAGTTGGTAGATGAAAACATCCAGTTCGTTTGTTCCAGGAGCTGTTATTTTCTGCCGAAATTTTGTTAGAATATGACCTTTTCCACTAAAGCAAATTCATAATTTAATACATAAAGAGCATGGGGGAAAACAAATTTTAGACTGATTCCTCTTTAGTAAAAAAAGGAGGGGTGCGCGAGGGGCTAGATTTTTACTTTAAGATGAAAGTGGAATTTGGCCTAAATAGACCGATAGGATATTTTAGTCAAACTTTAGGCAAACTTGACAAAGGTCAAGTTTGATTGTCTACAGTACAAAAATCTCACTTCACAAAACTGACAGATTTGTAATTCATACCACTAGTTTATGGAAAATATGAACTTAAGGCTTCTTTTATCCCAACATATTCAATTAATTTCTATGTCTAATTCACCCAAATTATCTGAATCTTCCTCTGAATCACTTTCGAGATGTAAAGCCACATTATATTTTTGGTAATTACCTACAATTTAACTTAAGTATTGGTATCCTCTGGAGACCCTGCTCCCCCTGCCACTCTCAGGAAAAGCCGTTTGTTTGTGCTCATTGGCAGGTTGATGGGCAACCAGAGAATCCTGGCAGCATCAAAGATGGCACTTGGCATTAGGAAACGAGAGAGATCTGTGAATTGTGAAACCCAACTCCAAGTTGATAAAATCCAAATTTCCAATTGCATTTAGCTAACAAAGAATACGTTTATTCGTTGTGAGCCGTTATAATTATCAGTTTGTGAAAATGGCCTACCTCAGAGGGAGGAACGTAGAAGTTGGTCTGTGTTCAACAGGAACCTAATAAGAGACTTCCTTTGATCCCGAGCCCTTGACCTGGTATCCAGTTACATGTACATGCACTTAGAGACATACATACATGCATATAGGCATATACATGCATGCATATACACATAAACATACATGCACTTAGGAATTCTCTCTACATACTGATCAGATACCGAGAACAAAGTCTGAACCATACTTGGGTGGAGGAAGCAGCCTGGTGACAATGCTCAGTACGACTGGGTGGAGCAGGGCAGAAAGCAAAGACCACTAGAAGCGCACTGGGCCGCGCCCTACTGGTGTTAGCCTTGGCTCTGGCTTTGGCAAACAATCTGCAAAAACAAGATAACTGTGCCCTCTTCCTTCTTTAAGAGCCATCTACATCTTGCAACGCTCGGATCTCACACCCCTTCCTCACATTCAAGTGGATCCATTCTGCTATTCTGACCTCACCTGGAAAGTTCCTGGACCCAGCCAAGTGGGCTCAATCAATCATCACAATGTGCCAGAAACCGCAGAGAACTGAACCGTAAGCTGTTGCTGGACACTATCGTTTAACTGTTGCCTGACCACTGTTACCATAGGGCTTGCTTAACTCTGAGCCCTCTAAAAACCCCTTGGTGATCTGGAGTCGGGATCCTGGTCAAGACTCTACTGTTGGATGAGACTTGCACCGTCGCTCAAGCTAGCAATCAAGTCCCTTTGCTTTTGCACTACTGTGTGTGGAACTGGTCTCTCCGCCAACTGGGGAATCTGAAATTCGGGCACGACAATGGAACAGGTAGGTTGGAAGGAAGGGAGAAAGTAGGGAAAGAAAGCTGGCTCTGGCAGGACGCCTTTGGAGGTCCCATGTCCGCCCGCGGCCGCCGTCGCGCGCGCGCGCGCGCAGGCCCCGTGTCCGCCCGCGGCCGCCGTCGCGGGCGTGCGGCTCCGCGCATGCCGGTGCGCCCGGCGCGGGCGCAGGTGCGGCGGCGGCGGCGGCGCGGGGGCCGGAAGTGGCGGCGGCAGGAGCTGTGGGCCGAGCCGTGGCGGCGGCGGCCCTGGGCGGCCGGAGGACGATGACGAGCGGCGGCGGCGGCGCGGCGTCCGCGCCCGAGCCAGAGCCCGAGCCCGCGGCCTGCGAGCGGCGCTGAGTAAGTGCCGACCCCGGCCTGAGCCCCCCGCGCCCGCCCCGCCGACAGGCCCCGGGCAGCGGCCGGCGCGGCGGGGGTGTGGCCCCTCGCCCCGCCCCGGGAGGGACGGTGGTCGGGGGGGGGGGGCGGCGGGGGCCTGGCCCCGCTGGACCCGGGGGAGGCTGGGGGTCGGGGGGGCCCGGCCCCGCTGCTGCCCTCCCCGCGGGGAAGCTTGGTGGCCTGACCCTGCTGCTGACCCCCGGGGAACGCGGGGACGGTTGGTGGTCAGTGGCCCGCCCCGCTGGGACCCGGGGAAGGCGGGTGGTCAGCGGCTTGGCCTTGCTGCTGCCCGCCCCGCGGGGAGGGTTGGTGGTCAGGGGCCCGACCCCGCTGCTGACCAGCCGGGACGCAGGGAAGCTTAGTGGTCAGTGGCCTGGTCCTGCTGCTGCTGCCCCGCTGGGACGTGGGTGTTCCCCCCCTCCCGGTGGCTAGTGGTCATTTGCTCGCCCCCCCGCTGCTGCCCCGCTGGGACGAGGGCGCCCTCCCTCCCCGCGCCTGAGCGTCTCAGCGTGCAGTACCCGCGGCGCGGGCAGTTCCCCCGGCCTGGCTGGGGACAGTCCGTCAGTCGGGGACAGTCGGGACGACCGTCCCCGCGCGAGCCAACCCTCCCCCACCCCCCCCACCCCCCGGGGAGCCGGCCCCGGCTCTGCTGCCCGGAGCCCGCCGCCTCCCCAACTGGACCCAACGGGTTGGGTTGGCGCTGCCCGCCTGGATGCAGGCGAGGCAGCTTTGGAACTGCATCTGGAGGAAGGAGCCGCGTTTATGAGAGCAAAACTGTGCATTTCATTCGCTGTCGGCCGCGTCCCGGCGACCTGTTCCCGGCCACGCTCGTTTGTGTTTATAGAGGCCCAGGACCTGGCAGTGGCCAACCCTGCTGTTAACACCCCACACCGGAAAGGACACTCAATTTGTGTCTAACCGCACCTGGCACTGATCATTAGTGTGCTGGGTGGGGGGGGGGGGGTGGGGGGGGTGGAGGCTGGGCCCGGGAGTGCCTGTCCTAGGCTGGCCAGCACCTGTCCTGCCAGTGGCCTCAGACCGCCCCCTGGGAACAGTGAACTGCTCAGCCTGGCAGCCCTCCTTTTCTAATCTCAGGGAAATCGTATTTCTCTGGTTTTATTCCTTCTGCAATCTAATTATTCTGAGTCGCAAGGCTTTCAAGTTCTTACTAGAAACTGTTGCTTGTTTCAAATTCTTGATTGCTCAGATTCCAAACTCGGAAGAGCCTGAGGCCCTGTTGACACTCACGTATACACGCGTGTTCTAGAATACAGCGCTTTCTCCATTGTCTCTCAAGAAATGGAATTCTCAGTGGCCCCACACCGGCTGATGGTTGTGGGATGTGGGCCTCCTCTGTTCGGAAGCGCCTGGGATCCTGTGACCGTCACTTTGCAGTGTCTCTGCCTTTCGAACCCCAGGGGCTCAGTTTTCCAAACCGTTTTCTTTCCCGTGTTTCTGACCTCCGCACAAGTTGGGCCTGACCTCCAGCGGGACACTCTGCCCCGGGTTGGGGTGGGCTTCAGGTGGGGGGAGGGGGCAGGGAGGCGAAGTGTTTCGCTTGCTGAGACCTGCCCCATCCCATCCCAGTCTCCAGGAGCTCTGCGAATCCGCCTTCTCATTGGCAGTTGGTGTTCATTCGTCCCGGGGGACTATTAATACCCACTTGTTCATTATTGATGACACGCAGGCGCCCATTAGGGAAATAGATAATTCATTTTGTGGTGTCTCCAGCACGCTGCGGAGCAGGGCTCTGCGGCTTCTTCAGGCTGGGTTGGCGGCGGCCCGGAGTGCGGGCTGGGACCCGCGGGATGCCCCTGGGAAGGGCACTGCTCGCCGCAGGTGAGTCTCCACTCCGGCCTCGGTGGCCTTATTCATCTTCACTAATCTTCCTAAAAGCAGCAACCCGCGACACACTCAGGGGCCTTTAAAAATGTTCGTTTATGGCTTAAGATCTTATTATTGTCTTTATAATTGGCCAGTCTTCGGTGAAATCGCTCTTGGAGAATCATTTTTCATTCTTGCATAGGTGAAAACATCTTTGGTCGTCTTCAGAGACCTTTTACTGTTGGCAGAATCTGTATTTCAGTATATACCATGCAGCTTTGGTTAATAGAAAAATTTGTCTGAAGTTAAAAAATAGAGTTGTGCGCATTTTATTTCTTCTGGGACTTTCCTGGCCTTCATTAAAGTATAATTTTTTCTGTTATGGAAAGATTGACATGTGTTGCCGATTGACTCTGCCGGTTGTTGGGGCAGTAATGAAGCATAGCTACTCCATGGTTTGAGCTTTGATTCTTAATGTGCGTCACTCTTTATTTTTCATTCTTGGAACAAGTAGCGCTGGGTAAAAAAAATAATCACGCGAGCGAGTGCAGCTGCACGAATTTCAGCAGGGAGGAGTTTGAGGTGGTCACTCGAGCCTCCACACGAACCTTTAATGTTTAATGCTGTCGTTTACGTTGCTTTGCATTGGACAGAGTAACTTAAGTCCCGGCAGCATAGTTTTGGGAGCGCATGGGGGTTTGTTAACATGCCTGCTGTGCTTCCTGCTTCTCTGCCTCTCTCTCTCTCCCTCCCTTTACCCACGCACCCTCAGGTACGCTCGGTTCTGCGGAAAAGCCATTTCTCTGGGTTTTTCTCAGTAGCTCACGCTGCCTTCACTGATGGTTACCGGTGGGGCTGCCGGGCTGTGAGGTCCCCGGGTTGGAATCGGGGCCTCTCGCATCTACCCCTCCAAGCTATCTCTTAGACCTTTGAGACCCTTCATTGTGTTCTTTTAAAACGAGCCTCTGTCTGTCTTGGGTCTGAGGAAAGCACTGAAATGTATGTTAAAAGGTTCGTTAGACCTTCGAGTTAAAACCACCACAGAGCCGAGCAATTTGGAGAAATAGTTTTGATCTTGGATGTGAGTGTCTCTTCCTAACTTCAGACACTGTCATGTCACAGGGCCGGGCTATCCAGCCTTTGTGAGTCTGTGGCAGCAATGCTAGGGGTGGGGGAGGGCTTCCCAGGTGTCACCCTGTGAGAAATGTGGATGCTCAGACTCAGAAACTTCAGCCAGGCTCCCACTCTTTGGTGGGTGGCCATGGAGCGGGGTGGAGTACCAGGGGACCCTTCGAATCTGTCAACTGAAATGCCACCACACCCGGTGGTGTGTGGGGCCTGTGGGGACCTAGTCATGCATCTTGATGAAACAGTGAACTCGGATGGCCAAGAATCATAGCACAGGAGTTTTCAAACTCTTTGGTACCTGAACCCATTTACATTTTAAAAAATTATTGATGATCAAAAAAAAGTTGCATATTTGTACTTTATAGAGAATATTGTTAGAAGTTCTGGAAGTTTATAAGGTTTTTCATTTTACTACTTAAAAAGTTTTTAAATCCATTACATGTTATCATTTTGTACAAAGCAACTAGAAAAAATATAACTACAGCATTGTTGTACATTTTTATGAACTTCTGTCTCCTCAACAGAAGACAGGCAAATGATCCATCAGATTTTTCTGCATTCATTCTCAAGGTAGTTTTAGGTAAAATACGTGATGAAAAGTAGAAACAACTCTGTGGTTATAAAGGGAAGAGCATTTTTAGATAATAGTCTGGTAATGCAGTACTCCACTGCCCTTAGTTTCTTAAATGCCAGTTACATTTGTTGTCTGAAGCCCTTATCACAACTTTTCTACTCGGTACACTAAAGTCCGTTGTCCTGCTTATAGTGCGTCTTGAGTATGCTTGATTTTGTGACACATTTGGAATATGTTGGTTTGCCACGTTGGACAGTTTCTCCTAAATATTGACTCGTAATGAATTATCAAAAATTACACTTACAGAGGCCGGAGCAATAGTACAGTGGGGAGGGCATTTGCCTTGATGCGGCTCACCTGGGATCCATCCGCGGCATCCCATATGGTCCCCCGGCACCACCAAAAGGGATTCCTGGATTGTAGAGCCAGGAGTAACCCTTGAGCATCTCTGGGTGTGGTCCCCAAACAAACAAAAATCACACTTACTAATATCAGTCGTGACAGTAGATAGACTCACTCTGTTAGCATTTTTTCCCCCTGGGAAATTGTGTCAAACATGTAAGACTGAAAAACTGTCACTGTACCAGCCTTTCTGAAAAACAGTGTAAACATTTCCCCCGAAGCTGGGAATCGAACTTCCATAGGCCCCAGTAATTCCACTCCTTGGAATATACCTAAGGCCCCAAAACACAAAGGAGTTTGCAGCACTGTCCACGGTAGCCAGAATCTGGAACCAACCCGGATCTCCAGCAATCGATGGCTGGGTAAGGAAGCTGGTGTACATCCACAGTGGGAAACCATTTGCCCATGAGAAGAGAGAAAGTCAGGATGGACGTGGAGGGTCTCGTGCTGAGGGAAGTTAGTTAGAGGGGGAGAGACCCCCATTGAGTGGTAGCTCTCACGTTTGGGTTTTAAAGAAGTAGACAGTGGAGACGGCTTGAGAGCTGGTTTCAGTGGGAAGCTTGCCTGGGCCGAGGGAACTGCTTGTTTTCAGGGGGATGTTTGCTGTCTGGGCCAAAGGAACTGCAGCAGTGGTGGAGAGCTCAGCCTGGAGGAGGGGACACTGCAAGGTGGGAACGTGTCATCCGTGAAGCCCTTCAGCAACAGGACAGAAACCACAGTGCCAGAGGTAGAAAGAAGAGCCTCTCTGAGAGGCCAGCGGGGGAGAAGGGGCCAGTGCTGGTGGACCCTGGTGGAACACTCTATGCCTTTTAAAGCCCAACTGGGAGTGACTTGACCATTGAAAGTAGCTAAACAAACAAAATGAAAGAAAATACAGAATTCAGTGGTGGTCTCTCAGTGGAGAGGGTGTCACCTGGAGAGGAAATGGCTCCTGGGCCCCAGCCGTTCTCACCCTGACGCTGTGGGCCCTCCCCCAGGGCGGATGCAGTTGTGACACCAAATGCCAGGGAGACATGTGCTCCTCGGTTGAGCT